GGTTACTCCTGGATGTGGAGATGCAGCACTGGTGAGTCCCCTCAAGGTGGGTGGGGCCCACCCGTAAGTATTTCCAGGGACAATCCCCTGAAGTTTGGTTATTGAAGAAAATGAATTTTTTTGGGGGAAGGTGGTGGGGAAAAAAATAGGGAAAAAAAGTAAAAAATTTTTATCAAAAATAGCTTTTGGGAAGTATTTGTTTTCTCCCGGCCCGAGATGAAACCCTGGCCAGGAAATAATGGGGAATGTATTTATAGGGTTACCTTGAAAGGGGGGTTTTCCTGGAGTTTACCCGGAGAGGGTTTTGGGGGTCAACGCCCCCGGCCTGGCTGAGCCAGGGCCCCATGGTGGATCACGGGTTTATCAACCAGGCTGTTACTGCTGGCTGCATGCAAGCTGATGTACAAACCAAGCCCATTGGCAGGTACGTTAGAGATAAAAAAATTTGGGGAAATGGGTTTAAAATTAGAAATGAAGACGATTAGATTATAAGAAGTTTTGTTTTGTGTAATATCTTTATTAGCAGCTGATACCCATCCCGCAAGACTGTAGGACTCGAATGAAAATGTTGATTACAGGCTCAGTTAGTTGGCTGCCTTACATACATCGGGGGATTACCCAAAAGACCCCAGCGTCTTCAGAAGGCGCTGGACAGGCGTATGGTGGGAAGCAGTTGAGCAGTGAACAGTCTTGGGCCCCTGATATTTATTGTGTTGTCTCTTAACATGCTAGTGACACCCCTGCTTTTCATTGGGGGGATGTTGCATCGTCTGCCGAGGCCTTTGCTTTCGTAGGGAATGATTTTCGTGTGCAAGTTTGGTACTAATTCCTCTAGGATTTTCCAAGTGTATATAATCATGTATCTCTCTTGCCTGCATTCTGTGGAGTACAGGTTTAGGAACTGTACATTTTCTAGGTCAGCAATTTCACCTGCCTTGAAAGGAGCTGTTAGTGTGCAGCAATATTCCAGCCTACATAGAACAAGTGACCTGAAGAGTGTCATCATGGGCTTGGCATCCCTAGTTTTCAAGGTTCTCATTATCCATCCTGTCATTTTTCTAGCAGATGCGATTGATAGTGTTATGGCCCTTGAAAATGAGATCCTCTGACATGATCACCTTAGTTTCTCGTTCTGTTGTGGAATTTGTTTTATACTCTGATGTAGCGTTAATTTCCTCACATTTTCCATATCAGAGTGATTGAAATTTCTCATCATTTAACTTTATATTGTTTTCTGCAGCCCATTTAAAGATTTGGTTGATGTCTACCTGGAGTCTTACAGTGTCTTCAATGGAGGTCACTGTCATGCAAATTCAGGTGTCATCTGCAAAGGAAGAGATGGTGCTGCTGTATGATAATTTATGTATTTATGTGTACCTGAATGAACTTAGTAATCATCTTAGTAAACAAATATATTTAGGTACAGGTATGCATTATCATACATAGTTTAAATTACCTAGGATAACCCAAAGTTAGAGTGACTTAGTTCAATTTTAATTATCCCAAAATACATTACATACCAGTGGCTGCCTTTTGTGTTTACCAGTGCTTTATTACCTAGCCTGTGGGTGCACCCCACACACAACCTGTGGGTGTATCCCATACCCAGCCTGTGGGTGCACCCCATACCCAGCCTGTGGGTGCACCCCATACCCAGCCTGTGGGTGCACCCCATACCCAGCCTGTGGGGGCACCCCATACCCAGCATGTGGGGCACCCCATACCCAGCCTGTGGGGGCACCCCATACCCAGCCTGTGGGGGCACCCCATACTCAGCCTGTGGGGGCACCCCATTCCCAGCCTGTGGGTGCACCCCATACCCAGCCTGTGGGTGCATCCCATACCCAGCCTTTGGGAGCACCCCATACCCAGCCTTTGGGTGCACCCCATACCCAGCCTGTGGAGGCACCCCATACCCAGCCTGTGGGGGCACCCCATACCCAGCCTGTGGGGCACCCCACAAGCTGGGTATGGGGTGCCCCATTTCGCTCTCCAGGAGCTTTATCAAGCCGTACACACACACAGCTTGATAAAATTCCTGGAGAGCAAAACGTTGCCACAATAAAATGTCACATTAGTTGCACTTGTGTCCTTTTACCTAACATATTGTTGGTAATTCTACCAACATTAATACAAAACTATGTAAATATACTGTACCTACATTATCATTATAACTGGTAATTATACTTACGTGTACCTGTACCTAAATAAACTTACACACTGTGCTGGCATGCAGGTACACATTAAAATCACTAAGAATGTCTTATTAGTTTTGAAGATGCCATAATAATAATAATAATAATAAATAATAATAATAATAATAATAATAACACTAATAATCACTGCAATGGATCAGGGAATACCTGACAGGGAGGCAACAACGAGTCATGGTACGAGAAGAGGTATCACAATGGGTGCCCGTGACGAGCAGGGTCCCACAGGGGTCAGTTCTAGGACCAGTGCTATTTTTGATATATGTGAATGACATGATGGAAGGGATAGACTCTGAAGTGTCCCTATTCGCAGATGATGTGAAGTTGATGAGAAGAATTAAATCTGATGAGGATGCGGCAGGACTGCAAAGAAACCTGGACAGGCTGGACACGTGGTCCAGAAACTGGCTTCTCGAATTCAACCCTGCCAAATGCAAAGTCATGAAGATTGGGGAAGGGCAAAGAAGACCGCAGACAGAGTATAGGCTAGATGGACAAAGACTACAGACCTCACTCAGGGAGAAAGATCTTGGGGCGACCATAACACCGAGCATGCCACCAGAGGCACACATCAACCAGATAACTGCTACAGCTTATGGGCGTCTGGCAAACCTGAGAATAGTGTTCCGATACCTTAATAAGGAATCGTTAAGACACTGTACACTGTGTATGTTAGGCCCATACTGGAGTATACAGCACCAGTCTGGAACCCACACCTGGTCAAGCACATCAAGAAGTTAGAGAAAGTACAAAGGTTTGCAACAAGGCTAGTTCCAGAGCTCAGGGGAATGTCGTACGATGAAAGGTTGAGGGAAATCGGACTGACGACACTGGAGGACAGAAGGGTCAGGGGAGACATGATAATGACTTACAAGATACTGCGGGGAATAGACAAGGTGGACAGAGACAGGATGTTCCAGATAGGGGACACACAAACAAGGGGTCACAATTGGAAGCTGAAGACTCAGACGAGTCACAGGGATGTTAGGAAGTATTTCTTCAGTCATAAAGTCGTCAGGAAGTGGAATAGCCTAGCAAGTGACGTAGTGGAGGCAGGAACCATACATAGTTTTAAGAAGAGGTATGACAAAGCTCAGGAAGCAGAGAGAGAGAGGACCTAGTAGCGATCAGTGAAGAGGCGGGGCCAGGAGCTGAGTCTCGACCCCTGCAACCACAATTAGGTGAGTACAATTAGGTGAGGCGCATTAAATATCATAAATAACTAACTAATTAGTTATTAGTTTGTAGTGATATATTGAAAAGATTAGCCGAAGGTATGCTAAGTTCCTCTTTACATTCCTTTACAACCCTTGCAAATAGTTCATAATGGCCTGGGGATCTGTTAGGCTTTAATTTCTCTATTTGTCTGAGGACCATGTCACTAGTTACCCTAATTGTGCATAGTTTATTATCATCCTTTTCTACATAATTTATTATTTCTATAATTTTGCTAGTATCTTCTTGAATAAAAACTGAGAGGAAGTAGGTATTGAAAAGTTCACACATTTCCTTATCACTGTCAGTGATCTGACCTGAGTTACTTTTAAGTGGGCCAATGTTGTCCCTAATCTATCTTCTGTATACCTGAAAGAACCCTTTTGGGTTAGTCTTCAAATCCCTCCCAACTTTAACCTCATAATCCCTTTTTGCTTTTCTTATTCCTTTTCCTATTTCTCATTTTAATTGAATACATTGATTTCTTAACTGCCCTTTCCCTCTTTTGATATGCCTATATATGCCTCTCTATTGACCAATGAGATGTTTTAATCTATTGTTTATTCTATTGGGATCATTGTTGTTAGATCTAATTTCCCTACTGGGGACAAAAGTCGTCTGGGCAGCCAGCACTATGCTCTGAAATATGTCATATTGGCAACCAACTCTACCTACCTGACACATAGTAAGGTCGTCCCAATTTAGCCCACCCAGGTAATTTGTCAGACCCATGAAGTTGGCCAAGCAGAAATCTGGGACAGCGACTTGATTGCAGTTATCTGGATAATATTGGGGTAGAGCCCTACCCCAATATTTGTGTTATACAGTATTGTAGAAGCATAGGGATTGAGTTGGATATGGGAATCTATGACCTAAAATCATTAATAACTTGAAAGTTGCTGTGCAAACAATTACCCATTCTAGTGGCAGACAACACACTTCCCCCAAACTTGAACTTGTTAAATAAATAAAATATGCACTCATACTACTGTGCCTACAGTAAAAAGGAAAAAATTTTTTTAAAATAAGCCTTTCCCGTGAACTTTTTTTCCTTTTTTTATTTTTGCAACAAGGGCACAAAAAAGCTGACATCACCCCCCAAGTCCCCAAATATCCTGTGTGAAAAAATTTAAGGGTCCCTAAATGGGCCCTTAAAAACTGGAAAATTTCCCTCGAACAAATTTAAAGGTTCCCCGTCTGACCCCATTTCAAAAACCCGTTAAAAAAACCATTTTCCCCTTTCATAATTGAGAAAAAGCAATCTGTTATTTTAACAAAACCCCCTTTTTATCCCGTTCTGTCCCTGTTCTTCCCCAACCCCATACTAAGGTAACCCTATTTGTCCATTTAATTTATTGTAATTCCCAAAGTTAAATTACTTTTACTTCCAAAATTTTTTTATTCAGGGGCAGTATAGTATTCAAATATGTCCTTTTGTGATAGACTATTTGTCATTAGGTGTCTTATTAGTTGCATAAATGTCTCAATTTTTCAAAGGGGCTTAATTTTTGTTAATTGCATAAGAAATTTTTATTTAATTGTATGATATTAATTAATATGGCTTACAATTAGCTGGTCAAAATGCATCACATAATTTGTGGCCATCTTTTGTGTCTACGTTTATATTAATTCATGTAAATTACATTAAGTGGTTTAAAGAAAAAAGTAGTATTAGTGTCAAAAATACTAAATATGGTTTGTTGTATTGCCAGACTGTTGAATATTGTGTGTTGTTGTATCAACATGTGAGGACCAAGACTGTTGCAACATGTAACCAAAAATACTGCTGGAACAAGTGTAGAAGCCTTCAAGAGGAAACCGGACAAGTATCTTCACCAGGTGCTGGATCAACCAGGCTGTGATGGAGTGGGTCAGTGGACCACCAGCAGTAATATCCTGGTGTAGCAGGCAAACACCAGATGAGCCTGACCCCTGGCTGGGCTCTGGCAGCAGAAAAACACTCAGAACTCATCAGAGGTTAATGTTAGTTTGTCAATAGTGTGTGTGAGGAGTTTATAATAATAATTTTTTTTTTCAACAAACCAGCTGTATCCCACCAAGGCAGGGTGGCCCAAAAAGAAAAATGAAAGTTTCTCTTTTTAAATTTAGTAATTTATACAGGAGAAGGGGGTTACTAGCCCCTTGCTCCAGGCATTTTAGTCGCCTCTTACAACACGAATGGCTTACAGAGGAAGAATTCTGTTCCACTTTCCCATGGAGATAAGAGGAAATAAACAAGAACAAGAACTAGAAAGAAAATAGAAGAAAACTCAGAGGAGTGTGTATATATATGCTTGTACATGTATGTGTAGTGTGACCTAAGTGTAAGTAGAAGTAGCAAGATGTACCTGAAATCTTGCATGTTTACGAAACAGGAAAAAGGATACCAGCAATCCTACCATCATGTAAAACAATTACAGGCTTTCGTTTTACACTCACTTGGCAGGACAGTACGTACTTTGTTAAGAGCTTGCAATGTTAATGAAAGAAAACAATGGGAAATTTTTTGGGAAACAATCAGTTACTGTACATGTTGTCAAAACATGACAGCAAGCAGAGAGATTCAGGCACTTGCCTATCTGGACAGTAATATTTCAGGAATGTGGAGTGAGTGGTTCTATATTTTTTTTTTATAGCACCGCGGCCATCTCGCACCGAGGGAAGGTGATCTGAAAATGAAATGAAAGTTTTTCTTTTTACATTGACAAAAAATTGTATTACAGTATATAAAGCCTTGCTGTTGGCAGAGCTGGATTAAGATTTTGTAGGCCCCTGGGCTACAGGTAATGTGAGGCCCCTGGGCTACAGGTACTATGAAGCCCCTGGGCTACAGGTACTGAGAGACCCCTGGGCTACAGTTGATGTAACATACTATAATTATGAACTATAATTATAATTAGTGTATACTATAATTATAAACGTACTATAATTATAAACTTACAGCAGTAACTGTGAACACTTTTCACTTAATCTCTGGAGGCCTTTCTGCTGGCAGAAGCCCCTGGGCTGCAGCCCCTAAAACACATGCCTTAATCCGGCCCTGGCTGTTGGAGTGTGAGCAAGGTAACACTTATAAGAACATAAGAACATAAGAAAGGAGGAACACTGCAGAAGGCCTGTTGGCCCATACTAGGCAGGTCCTTTACAATTCATCCCACTAACAAAACATTTGCCCAACCCAATTTTCAATGCTACCCAAGAAACAAACTCCGATGTGCAAGTCCCACTCAAATCCAACCCCTCCCACTCATGTACTTATCCAACCTAAATTTGAAACTACCCAAAGTCCTAGCCTCAATAACCCAACTAGGTAGACTGTTCCACTCATCAACTACCCTATTTCCAAACCAATACTTTCCTATGTCCTTTCTAAATCTAAACTTATCTAATTTAAATCCATTACTGCGGGTTCTCTCTTGGAGAGATATCCTCAAGACCTTGTTAATATCCCCTTTATTAATACCTATCTTCCACTTATACACTTCGATCAGGTCTCCCCTCATTCTTCGTCTAACAAGTGAATGTAACTTAAGAGTCTTCAATCTTTCTTCATAAGGAAGATTTCTAATGCTATGTATTAATTTAGTCATCCTACGCTGAATGTTTTCTAACGAATTTATGTCCATTCTGTAATATGGAGACCAGAATTGAGCTGCATAATCTAGGTGAGGCCTTACTAGGGTTCAGGAAAACTGGTTAGCTGGACTTAGAGACCTGGAGGTGGGAAGTAAAATGCCTGCACTCTGAAGGAGGGGTGGGGATATTTGCAGTATTGGAGTGCCTCTGGCAAGACAGTGATGGAGTAAGTGACGGTGAAAGTTTTTTTTTTTTTTGTCACCATATCTCGGTGGGAAATGGCTGGTGTATTAGAAAAATAATATAGAAAGGTGTTGTGTAAGAGAAAGAGAAGTTACTGTGCCATCAATAATGTGAAAATGACACTTATCATAGAGCATTAAGCATGTTCCAATTTGATAATGCTGCAGTGATTAATGTGGTAATGATATTTCAGGAGATGACAGGTTCAAGATTGTCACGTGGATGGATCACAGAGCAAAGGAACAAGCCGACTTCATTAATTCTCAGGAACATTAGTACGTATCGTGAAGGAGGAATTTCTGGATATACATTATTGTTTACCTGGAGTTTACCTGGAGAGAGTTCCGGGGGTCAACGCCCCCGCGGCCCGGTCTGTGACCAGGCCTCCTGGTGGATCAGAGCCTGATCAACCAGGCTGTTGCTGCTGGCTGCACGCAAACCAACGTACGAGCCACAGCCCGGCTGATCCGGAACTGACTTTAGGTGCTTGTCCAGTGCCAGCTTGAAGACTGCCAGGGGTCTGTTGGTAATCCCCCTTATGTGTGCTGGGAGGCAGTTGAACAGTCTTGGGCCCCTGACACTTATTGTATGGTCTCTTAATGTGCTAGTGACACCCCTGCTTTTCATTGGGGGGATGGTGCATCGTCTGCCAAGTCTTTTGCTTTCGTAGTGAGTGATTTTCGTGTGCAAGTTCGGTACTAGTCCCTCTAGGATTTTCCAGGTGTATATAATCATGTATCTCTCCCTCCTGCGTTCCAGGGAATACAGGTTTAGGAACCTCAAGCGCTCCCAATAATTGAGGTGTTTTATCTCCGTTATGCGCGCCGTGAAAGTTCTCTGTACATTTTCTAGGTCGGCAATTTCACCTGCCTTGAAAGGTGCTGTTAGTGTGCAGCAATATTCCAGCCTAGATAGAACAAGTGACCTGAAGAGTGTCATCATGGGCTTGGCCTCCCTAGTTTTGAAGGTTCTTATTATCCATCCTGTCATTTTTCTAGCAGATGCGATTGATACAATGTTATGGTCCTTGAAGGTGAGATCCTCCGACATGATCACTCCCAGGTCTTTGACGTTGGTGTTTCGCTCTATTTTGTGGCCAGAATTTGTTTTGTACTCTGATGAAGATTTAATTTCCTCATGTTTACCATATCTGAGTAATTGAAATTTCTCATCGTTGAACTTCATATTGTTTTCTGCAGCCCACTGAAAGATTTGGTTGATGTCCGCCTGGAGCTTTGCAGTATCACAAATGGAAGACACTGTCATGCAGATTCGGGTGTCATCTGCAAAGGAAGACACGGTGCTGTGGCTGACATCCTTGTCTATGTCGGATATGAGGATGAGGAACAAGATGGGAGCGAGTACTGTGCCTTGTGGAACAGAGCTTTTCACCGTAGCTGCCTCGGACTTTACTCTGTTGACGACTACTCTCTGTGTTCTGTTAGTGAGGAAATTATAGATCCATCGACCGACTTTTCCTGTTATTCCTTTAGCACGCATTTTGTGCGCTATTACGCCATGGTCACACTTGTCAAAGGCTTTTGCAAAGTCTGTATATATTACATCTGCATTCTTTTTGTCTTCTAGTGCATTTAGGACCTTGTCATAGTGATCCAATAGTTGAGACAGACAGGTGCTTATACCTGGAGTATACCTGGAAGGTGTTATGGGGGTCAATGCCCCTGCGGCCTGGTCCGTGATCAGGCTGCAAGGGTGGATCATGGCCTGATCAACCAAGCTGCTACTACTGGTAAACTGTCTTATAGTGTGGACTTAAAGGAAATGTTGAATGTTTGATTTATAAATCCTAGATGTATGGCTAAATGTAGTATGGGGTGAACATCAAGTGGAAAAAAAAGTATACTGCCACAACATTATTTGTCTGTAATTGTCTACATTACAAAGAATACTGTAGAAAAGTAGAAAAAATTACATTTTGTATATTTACTAGATATATATATTTTTTCAAGACTGGCCGTCTCCCACCAAGGCAGTGTGACCTGAAAAAGAAGAAACGAAAGTGTTTCTTTTTATGTTTAGTAATTAATGCAGGAAAAGGGGTTACTATCCCTATGCTCTTGGCATTTTAGTTGCCTCTTACAAAATGCATGGATTTTATTATTTATAGTATTTACATAAGAATGTTTTTTCAGTGTGCTGAAATACGTGGGAGGTAAAGTGTTGCTGGAAATGCAGACTCCCAAACTTCTTTGGCTCAAGAAGAATATGAAAAACACTTGGGCCAGGGCTGGCCATTTTATAAATTTACCAGATTTCCTGATCTTGAAAGCCACAGGACAGTTTTCAAGGTAAGTTATTTCTCTATGATCTGTTGCCTGTCATGTGAGAGAGTTTAAAGCAAGTATACCTTTGACTGCCTGTATGTTATCTGTTGCTGTGTATGCTTGATTACCTCCTAAGTGTTTAGGGTTTAGGTACTGATGGTTTTAACTCGGGTCATTCACAAATTAATAACTGCAAACACTGGGTATCATTTAATAAATGATAGTGCAAATATGTTTTTAGATTTTTAAATATACTGGCAGGCGAGAAAAAAAGAATGATTCGCTTTAAAGTTATTATTATTATTGTTATGGGGAAGTGCTAAACCCATAGGAAGGCATTGAGGCTTAAATCAGGGAATTGGAGCACAGATCCAATTCCCTAGATCAAGAGCCCCTCACCAGCATCAAGGAACCTCCCTTGAGTAAGGGGTTACTTTAACAGGATGGGGGCGAGTACTGTGCCTTGCAGAACAGAGGTTTTCACTCTAGCTGCCTCAGACTTACTCTGTTTACTATTACTCTTTGTGTACAGTTTAAGGTAATGCTCGCTTTACGGAAGCGGTCTAGAACCTAACCCGCCACATTAGCGAGATATGCCTGTATTTGTGATAGTCACTGCTCTGGTATGTGGTCCTTCGGTATATTAAGAATAATAATAAAAAATATTGGTGATAAGTTATTTTCTTTTTCACCCAAATCATTCTTGAAATGATTTAGATCACTTACTCTTATATGTGCCAGATCACTCAGTGTATGATGGCTTTGTAGGCTAGCTAGAAACAGTCTAGTTGACTAGGCAGTCAACAAGGAATCCTAACCTTAGACCTGGCTGTGAAAGTAGAAAATAAGAACCCTTGAATGTTTTGAAGCCATTTACATTTGTTGCACTGGTGCATTTGTGCAGTATGTGCAGTACATTTAGATGGAGTGTCCTTAACCCTTAAATGGTCCAAACGTATATAGTATACGTTTTTTCAACATCTGAAAGTATGTAAAAAAATGTAGATCTTTTTTGTTTTACATTTGAAAACGTGTAAAAAAATTTTTTATCTACATTTTTTTTTTGTTATATTTGAAGATATGTAAAAAAAAGTAGATCTACTTTTGTAGCACTACGAATTTGAACGTCGATCTGTTTGGACCGTTTAAGGGTTAATATACTAAATTCTGGCATCTTTATTTTCAATTTTTTTTTATTCTTTGCTTTGCTCACTTTTTGTCCTCTCCAAAAGTATCCTGAATGTGGATGCCCTCTTAAGTTTTTTCGAGACAGGTCCAATTTTTTTTTTTTTTTTCCCAACAAGTCGGCCGTCTCCCACCGAGGCAGGGTGACCCAAAAAAGAAAGAAAATCCCCAAAAAGAAAATACTTTCGTCATCATTCAACACTGTCACCACACTCACACATTATCACTGTTTTTGCAGAGGTGCTCAGAATACAACAGTTTAGAAGTATATACGTATAAAGATACACAACATATCCCTCCAAACTGCCAATATCCCAAACCCCTCCTTTAAAGTGCAGGCATTGTACTTCCCATTTCCAGGACTCAAGTCCGACTATATGAAAATAACCAGTTTCCCTGAATCCCTTCACTAAATATTACCCTGCTCACACTCCAACAGATCGTCAGGTCCCAAGTATCATTCGTCTCCATTCACTCCTATCTAACACGCTCACGCACGCTTGCTGGAAGTCCAAGCCCCTCGCCCACAAAACCTCCTTTACCCCCTCTCTCCAACCCTTTCGAGGACGACCCCTACCCCTCCTTCCTTCCCCTATAGATTTATATGCTTTCCATGTCATTCAATGTATCATCTTTAATATCTGTGTTTTAGTCCTACCTTACACTATTTCTTTATTGCCTCATGCCTCCTTCAGGTGGGTAATGGCGAAAGTCAACACGTGGAAATAAAGACATTGGTAGCAAAAAATCCTCTTAATACATTTCTCCCAAGGCTGGACTTTTATGAGCCTTGGGTGAAAATTTGTCAATGTCTGTGTCTGGAGTTTACCTGGAGTGAGTTCCGGGGGTCAACGTCACCGCAGCCTGGTCTGTGACCAGGCCTCCTGGTGGATCAGAGCCTGATCAACCAGGCTGTTACTGCTGGCTGCACGCAATCCAACGCACGAGCCACAGCCTGGCTGGTCAGGTACCGACTTTAGGTGCTTGTCCAGTGCCTGCTTGAAGACAGCCAGGGATCTATTGGTAATCCCCCTTATGTATGCTGGGAGGCAGTTGAACAGTCTCGGGCCCCTGACACTTATTTTATTGTCTCTTAACGTGCTAGTGACACCCCTGCTTTTCATTGGGGGGATGTTGCATTGTCTGCCGAGTCTTCTATGTCTAGTTCTTAAATTGTCTTTAAGCATTAGGATTAATCTGCCTGAAATGCACTGCATGTTAGTGGCTTTCTTTTGTTCCTAATAATATTTTAATAGTCTCCATGGGGAAATGGAACAGAATTCTTCCTCCGTAAGCCATGCGTGTCGTAAGAGGCGACTAAAATGCTGGGAGCAAGGGGATAGTAACCCCTTCTCCTGTATATATTACTAAATTTGAAAGGAGAAACTTTTGTTTTTTCTTTTGGGTCACCCCAACTCGGTTGAATACGGCTGGTATGTTGAAAGAAAGAATATTTTAATAGTGCATGTAAACTACATTATTTCTTTTATACAGTATACAAATAAAGTATTTATTTCTTTATTTATTTTCACTTTGTTTCCTATATCTACAACTTTTCTGGATGTATAGCATCTTCTGCTATGCAGCATTTAAAGTCTCTCTCAGATTTAACACTCGTCATGAATGTTTTTATGATTTTTCTAATTAATTTTTTCTTTTTACAGTTTAAGATCTTTATTTTTGGTTTCCCTCAAGGTCACTCTGCTCATTAGTGTGCAAATGGACCTACATGAGTGATGGGCGGACTCAGGGATGGGACAGCGGGTTTTTCAAAACCATTGGGCTGGAAGATTTAGCTGATGATGACTCTCACAAAATTGGTGTGTATCTTCTATGTTTCTTTCAAGAAAAATATATGTCAGTAAAGTAAGAGCATTTAGGAAGGTGAGCCTTTTATCAGACTGATAAAAGGCTCATCCATAAAGATTTGGTCTGCTAAATGCTTTGGTAAAATGAAAGCATTTTAATAATTTTGCACTGACAACATTACTGTTTTTTCTGGTTTTAAGTAAGTTTATTTAGGTACAGGTACACATAAGTACAATTATCATACATAGTAACATGTGTATAAATTACCTAGGATAACCCAAGAAAGTCAAAAGTGACTTGTATTTACATTTTGCCCCAGTTATTCCTCCAGCTTTTATATAAATTAGACAAATAGAAATAAGAGAGGACCCTATTTCTCACTCAAAAACAATAGGTTTTTATTTGTATCTGCAAATCATATTTGAAACTTGTTTTATATATTTCAAAACAGTGTCTTGTAAACATTGAAGTTTACATTAAATGTCTGTAAATATCATATACAGTGGTATCTCAGGTTACAAACTTAATTCGTTCCAGAAGGCTGCTCAAGTGCCGATACCGAACGAATTTGTTCCCATAAGGAATAATGTAAATTAGATTAATCCATTTCAAACCCCCAAAAATACACTTCCAAAAATACATTTACATAATTGTTCGAGTTGGGAGCTGTTCGTATGCCAAGGTACCACTGTATACTGTGTATATTTAAGGTGTTTGTATGTTTACCTGTGATATGTAGGATTTTGCTGCGTAGTGAATATAGAAATTATGTACTTATTTAAAACATTTTTTTAATACTCTAGGTGACTCAAAAAATTAAAATGACTTTCTGAATTGTAATATCCCAACCTCTCTTTTGGGAGGAAGGCATTGTCCTTCCCACCGCCTGGACTCGAGTCCTGCTAACTGGTTTCCCTGAATCCGTTCATAAATGTTACCTTGCTCACACTCCAACAGCATGTCAAACTATAAAAACCACTTGTCTCCACTCTGACCTGACATTCTCCCATAAGTCTTTTGGATGCTCAAACCTCTAGCCCTCAAAACCTCATTTACCTCTACAACCCTTCCTGGGACAATTCCTACCCTTCCTCCTTTCGTTTTGGTCATTCCATCTTGCTCCATCCTCTCTAAATATCCACACTATCTCAACAACCCCTCCTAAGCTCTGAATTATACAATTTTGTAACCCCGCACATCTGCTAATTTCTACTTTCCACATTTTCTGCATAATATTCACACTACACCTCAGACAAGACATCTCTACTGCCTTCAGTAGCTGCCTCTTTCCACAGATGCCTCAGCACTTAACCTACCTTTTTTTTCCTTTGTCAATTCTATAGTTCACCTTGTTTAAAAATGAAATGCACCCAGATTGACTTAATTGAGCTAATTGTTTCATCAGGGAAGACAGTGATGACACCTGGGACTAACTGTGGCAAAATCTCTGCAACAGCAGCATTGGAATTGGGACTATCTGACAGCACCTTTGTTGCAACGTCTATTATTGATGCTCATGCAGGAGGCCTGGCTCTGGTGGCTGCTGCGGCAAAAACCAAGCAAGATCTCATTGGTAGACTAGGTAAAAAATTCTATGTCCTAATTTTTATATTGTACATTGTGGTATTATAATAATCATAATCTTTATTTCAGCATGAGGGCTATGTTTGTACAAAGTTGGGTGACTTTAAGGGGAAAGAAACCCAAATTGGTATGCATAACTTTTGGGGTTAAACTTAAACCTTTTCCTTAAGATTATAAAGGCAAAAACCCAAATTTGATTGTTTTATATACATGGCCCCCCGGGTTTAATATTTTTTCACTCCAGAATTATTTTTCGGTGCCAAAATTTGACCAAATTTTTGTTCCCCCAAAAGGGAAAATATTTTTAAAAGTAGATTATTTCCCATTTCAGCCCCCCAAACATACACGTAAAAAACCGCACCTTACAAAAATATACTTACATAATTGGCCCGCATTGGGAGGTAATCGTTTTGGGGGGGTCCCTGTATGGCCCTTTCCCTCCAAAATTTTTGAAAAGGATTCAAGAGTCAAAATCGGGTTTAATTTTTATCAAACATTATCCTCATTTAGCTAAACAGAAAATTGTAAATGGTACGATGATACAGTAATGAAATCGGGAGAAGGGTACCAGACCCTTGCCCCTTTGGCTTTTTAAAGCCCCCCCCTTTTAACACATGCCCCGGCTTACGGAGGAAAAATTTTCCGGGGTTCCATTTTCCCCCATGGAGAACAAAAAACGAGCTTCAGTAAAAATTTACTAAAATAATTATGCATTTACAAATTTTCAAAAATTAATAAAAAGTGTAAAAATTTAACTTCTTTTTTTTACTTTTTTTGAAACGGGAAAAAAGGGCCCTTTTAAATTGGCTCTTACTTTTTCCTGACCCTGTGGATAAGTGAAAAAAAGTTGGGGAGGAAAGAGCATTTTTTTCATTATCCTTTTGGCTCATGGCCTAAATGTTTTTACACTTTTTTAAATATTAAGTGCTAAAAACAGCTGGGAAAAAAATAACAGAAAAAAAATTAAAAAAAATAACATATACAGTAAAACAAAAACTTGCCCTAAATTATGGCACGGGTCACCCTTCCCTTATACAACGTGTGAGAATAGCAAAAAAAAAATAAAAGCATTTGAACATAATGAAAAATGACTCAGTCAAAAGCCACTAAAAAATGGGAACACCGAATGGGGGATCGGTAAAAAAGCAAGTCCCTCCTGTACTGTATTTGGAAACTTTTAAAGGTACTTAACTGCATAAAAACCCACTTAATATTTCCTGTCAATTTTTAAAAAGTAATCTTAAGAAATTGCACCCCAAAATTTTTTATATTTTGTGTCAAAAAACAATGTTTTTTTCCCCCCCCTGAAAAATTTACATTATTTTTGGGGAATTTGAATTAATGTAAAGAAAAACTTAATTTCTAGGAAGAGGGGGTAGACAGCAAACGCCCAGGGAGGTACTCCCGCCGGGCCAAGTGAATGAAAAAAACGAAAGCCTGTTTTGGGTTTTACATAAAGGTGGGATTGCTGGGCCTTTTTTCTGTTTTCCTAAACACAAGTTTTTCCAGGTACATTTGCTACATCTCACTTACACTTAATCACACTACTTTATACATGTACAACTATATATATATAACACACCCCTCTGGGTTTTTTCTTCCTTTTTCTTTCTATTTCCCTTTTTTTAATTTCCCCTTTTAACCTCCACGGGGAATTGGAACAGAATTTTTCCCTCCGTAACCCCCATGCGTGTTTTAAGGGAAAACAAAAATTTCCGGGGAGAAAGGGGCCCCTAGTAACCCCTTCTCCTGTATAAATTACTAAAATTTAAAAAAAAGAGAAACTTTTGTTTTTTTTTTTGGGGGCCACCCTGCCTTGGGGGAAAAACGGCCAGTTTGTTGAAAAAAAAAAAAAAAATTTTTGGAGAATTTAAATTTTGGGGTTTGGAAAAAATAAATATTTTCATCATTTATGTGCAGTATATAAAAGATTTATTTTTTTTTCATGTCTGTTTTTGGGGAACCCCAAAATTTTTGTCACATGTGGGGTGAGTGAAAGACCCCATTTTTTGTGCCAGGTGTTTTGGGGACCATATTACAGGGGCTAGATTCCGGGCTGCTGGCTTCCTAAAGGGTGGACAGATTTTTCAACTGGCAGCCCTTTGTTGACACTTTTAAAATAAAAACTCACCCACAGCTAATGACACCCCGATAGTAAAAAAACAAAATGTAGGGTTTTTTTTAATAAAATATATACGTCTGAATGGGGAAGTGGGAAAATCCTTCGTAAGTTAACAAATTTGGTTGTAGGGGGCACTAAAATCCCGGGAAGCAAAGGGTTTCTGACCCCTTTGTGAAAATTTGCCAAATGTATAAAAAAGGGAAAAACATTGTTTTTTTCAGGTCCCCTTTGGGTTTAGTGGAAGCCCACTGATTTTTTAAAAAAAAAAGTTAATTACAGAAAGGGTAATGGAGACAAGGGGTTTTTAAAAGGATTGGGCCTTTTGGATTGAGAGAAGGAAACCCTTTCTTTAAAAGGGTTTCAGGGAAACCATTAGCTGGATTTTAGCCCGGGAGGGGGGAAAGTAGGGGCCGCACTCTGAAAAAAGGCGGGGAAATTTTTTGCATTTTGGGGGGTAACTGAAGTGAAACTCGTCACATTTTTTGGAAAAGGGACAGTGCGAATGAATGACAGTGAATGTGTAAAGGGAAATTTGGTTTTTTGATTTTAAAAAAAAAGAAATAGAATTTGAAAAAGTGTGCAGTATGGCTAAAAAATTTTTGGAGGAAAGAAAGCGAGTCCTTTGTACTCTGGAGGAGGGGGGGGATTTTTGCATTCGGGAGGGGGGAACTACAGTTTTTTTATGCAAGGGGTTAAAAAATTTTAAATTTCTGGAGGTGGTATACAGAGGGAATTCAATAAAGTATTTTGAACTTAAAAGCTCCTTGTTTTTTTCCCCAAATTCCCTGGGGATTTTGTAGGTCTATATTTAATTTTCTGTACACCTTTTTTTTGGGGGAAATACCCAAAAAAAAGTTCCCCAAAACCTCTGCTCTAAATTTTTAAACAAATTAAAACAGAAGGGGGCTTCATGCGAGGTTGGGGACTCGATGACGGGCCTAAAGGGGATTTTGCATATATTGCCCACAAATGTTTTCAATACGAAAAATTCGTGAAAGTAAAATTTCTTTGGTCAAAATTTAGAAATTTTTACCTTTAAAGCTACTCAGTTGATTTTAACTTCTGGGAAAATTTTCTTACCAATTTTACCCCCTGGGATGCTCTGAAAAATAACTTTTTTGGGGTGTTGCTCAACCTTGAATTTTCCTTGGGGGGTTTTGAACTCCAATACCCCCACTTGTTTTGGCAAGCTTTGGGTACTTTGTGGGGGTAAAACGGGAAGCTTTTTCCTGTCTTCTCTAGGGTTTTTTTTTTTCATTACCCTTTACATAATGCACAAACGGGGCTAGGGAGGGTTCTTTCATTTTCCCCCGGGAAAACATAATTGTTTATGTATCTCAGGAACAGAAAGCATTTTAAGTACAGAACCTTGGGGAGAATCACAAATCCCACTGTCTAAAGCGGGAACAATAGGGGTCCAGAAGGAACCTTGAAAGAGCACCAAAAGTCCACTGTCCAAAAAGCTGGGAAAAATAGGGGGCCAGTACAAAAACCTTTCAGAACACTGCCCTGAAAAATTTTTTCTACACTTTAATTGTAACCACTAAAATCACTTCAAATTTTCACAACCCAAACCCGCACTTCACTTAAACATAACCAAATAGCACTTCACTTACACAACTAAACCCGCACTTGACTTTTCACAACTATCACAAATTCCTTATCACAACCTTTCCAGCAATCATTTACCACCCCTACTAAACTTCAGTTTTCCAACACCAGCATTTCAAATTTAAACATCAAATACCAAATAAATTCAATTTTATCACCTCTTCCCTTTTATGTAATCAGTAAATTTATAATGTCTTTTCCAACCACCCCCAAAAGGGAAACATCGAGGGGGCCCTTTTTTTTTATAGTGGTGTCCCCCCCTAGGGGCCCAGCCACTCTTTTCTCAAAATGAAAGTTCACAAATACCAACAGCTATAAGCAAAGAAAAAGGCCCTTTTTTTTTTTCAAGCTGAAAAAAATTTATCAAATTTTTTTTCTTCCCTTTCCCCGAAGTTCCCGCTCTTTCAAAAAATTTTTCAGGGAAATTCGGCAACCTTCTCTTTTTCTTCTTCTCGTAATTTCCCCAAACCTTTTCTTTCTGCGATTCTTGCATTTTGGGGGCCCGTCCTTTCGAAGAGCAAAATTCAAACCCAAAGATACTGAGCAACGTGGGGGAAACAAAAATCTCCTCATACTCTGCCATTTTTGTTCTTCCTTCCTTTTTCCCGCTTTACGCTGGGGCCCCAAACACGAGCCTTTTCCCCCGGGAGCGGTAGGCTGCCAAGTTTTCGAGCCTTGGCCCCCATCAAGGACTAAAGGGTTTTACAACCCCCTGAAGGAAAACCCTTCGGCAGATGTTCCCGTCTTTAAATTTTTTTAAATAAAGGTTTTTTAAGAAGTAAAGGCAATTTTTTCTGGGTATCCAAAAAGTGGACTGATTTTTCCCAAAATTTATTAAATTAATTTAAAAAAGTTTGGGTAAAAGAGTAGAACAGTGGGATATGTTGTGTGAGAAAACGCCAGGAAATTCAATATTTTGTAGATGAATGGATGTAAAAATCTATAACTTTAAAATTTAAAATGGGCTGTTTTTCCAAATTTAGTTTTAAAAAATTTAAAAATAATTAGGGTAGAAGAGTAGGAAAAATAGTAAAATTTTGTGTGTGATATCCTCAAGGAAATAATTTAAAATTAAATATATATAAAGCTTTTTAACATAAATATATAATTTATATTTAAAATTAAATATATATAGTTAAAATTTTTAAAAATCCCAATTTAAAACTACAAAAATATTAAAAATTCCTGGGGATTTTCTCACACAACATTTCCACTGTTCCTTTCTATTCAACCCAATTTTATTTAATAATTTAAAATAAATCTTG